CAATTACACAGCCAACTCTCAGTCTGCCAGTTCCTTTTTTAGGTCGACGCAGAATCAGCCACACCCGCCCTTTCCTTCTTGGCTATCTTGTCAAGCCATTTTTCTCGAGTTCATACCATGTCACTTACTCAAGTCCTTTCTGCTCTGGTGTCTTGCCAGGCCCCCTTTTCTCAGGCCCATACAAAGCCAATTACAATTTTTTTCTGTTCTGGCCATCTTGACAGGCCCCTTTTTCCCAAGCCCATGCAAAACCAATTACAAGTCTTATTTTCGTGCGTATTCATTGGTAGATGGCACACCTTCCCCCCACTCAAAACTCGATGTCCCCATCGCGCGACTGGTTCTCACTCGGAGGTACGAAGACCTTTGGACCACCAACCGCAAGTCAAGGACACAAGCTCATCCGCTTCACAAAAGGAAGAGTGATCAGTTCCTCCCCAGCGGACGACGCCTCATCCTTCTACCGGTCCGACCTTTCTTCTCTTACGTGGCGAGCACCAATACTAAGGTTCCTCCTCTCGTCTGTCAGGCAGGTCTAATCCAAGCCTTCCAGAGCCTCGTCTAGCCGTAAGAGCGTTCCACGCGAATCGTTCCTCCCGAGTGGTGATTTTCTGGATTCCGGCCTCTTTCTTTCAAGAGAGTTGGGGCTCTCAATCTGTCCGCGAGTGCAGTTACGAAGACCTCGCAATTAGTCCCGAAACGGTTGTAATGTTCCGGCAGGGCAGTGTCAATGCCCCGTGGTGGTGGCGGACTCCACCCGGTACCTCGCCGGCCTCTCCCCTTGGACAGTGCCGCCCAACTTAGTGCGGGCGGCCGTAGTCCGACCCAAACGGCCATGCCACCCCTCTATGACGTGGCGTGTGGTTGGAGAGTAGCAAAATAGACTAGATGAGAATGGTTTTCCTGCCCATTTGGCTCTCTCACCCTTTGACGTTTAGGCGTTCAGCAGGAGACGCAGTTGGAACTCCCCGACTAGAGCTCATTGTCGGAGGTGGTTCCGGACGTCCCGCACCGATYCAAGTGGTAGGTGCCTTAGTCCTTTAACCCTCCCCTCTCGAAGAGGAACAGGTCGTGCTGAGACTTTTTCCCTCAAAGGGATAGAGGTCTTGGGGTCGCGGTATCCCCCTCTTGCTGAGGACAAGGACTAGAAGAAAATGAGAAATTCCATTTCAAAGCTCTTTCCAAGTCCTTTTCCAGTTACCTAGGGTCCCCTGTTTATGCAATGCAATTTCCAATACTCAATCCAATTTCAATGCTCAGTCCCATTCCCATGCTCAATCTCAGTCCAGTGCTCATTCTCAGTCCAATGCTCATTCTCAGTCCAATGCTCAATGCACTATCTCTTCCAAGGCTGAGTCCAATATCTCTTCCAATGTCGTTTCCAAGGCTCAGCTCTTCCAATGTCTTTTCCAAAGCTCCGCACTTTCCAATATCTTTTCAGAGGCTCAACTCTTCCAATGTCATGCATCTCAAGCAGTCATGCAAGGGGACCCCAGTGCCAATTCCAAAGGATGACCCTTGTCAGGGGCCATTCCGAACAACCTGGTTAGGGTCGTTCTTTCCAATTCCAAGTCGAACAGCCTGGTTAGGGTCATTCTTATCCATTGCAACCGGACAGTCTGGTTAGGACCATCCTTATCCATTTCAATTGGGCAGCCTGGTTAGGGTCATCCTTGTCCATTTCAATTGGACAGCCTGGTTAGGGTCATCCTTGTCCATTGCAATGTTAGCGCCCGAGGGGGTGGGCCTCGAGGACACGGATCCTATCTCGTCTCGGGGTTAGAAGGCGGCCATCGTCTTGGGTTTTTACGGATGCTTCTTCCTTTTCCTCATGCCATTTATCATTCTTACATCCATCCATACATCCGACTTAGCGTCTAGTACTCAAGATGAGGCTCGCCACCCCAAGCAGCACTAGCCCGCCCGACCCTTCAACCATTACAAGGAATGCCCACTCATTTTAATGTCTCCCTCCTTTTTGGAGTTCTCCTATTATCTCAATGCTCTGGACTTGCCCGGGATAGGTTGGATTAGGCTCCTAGGGAAGAGGATGCCTCTTTACCCATAGGTCCCCTAACCTCTCACAAGGACTCGTGCCATGACTCATTCAATCTTGGATACAGAATTTAAAGGAAAAACTCTCGTCATCAACGTTTCTTCCAACGCCCAAGAGTTCACATGCCTTTGCCCATTTCCTTGAGACAGAGTCGATCACCCCCAAGGTCCCTTTCTTACTACCAAAGAAAAACTCACATTTCCCAAACGGAGCGAGTACTTATACAAAGTAGCCCTGGTCACCCACCCCCTACTAGTTTCCTCACTCCAAAAAGTAGTTTCATCGCAGTCCTTTAAGAAAAAGACAAGGAGACAAAGTTTGAATGCAAGACAACATTACAGACCCGTCTCATCTAGATCCCCATGTTTTTTTTTCCTTGCTTTCCCTTAGACAAAGCCCAACCATTCATAGTTCTACCTTCTACATGCAGTGAGCGTCATGTCCTTTCTGAAGAATGAACTACTTGTGTAAAGTAGCATCCATTACCCTGTCCTTTGCCATTTCAAGTTTGTCTCATCGCAATCCATTCAAAGATTTTAAGTGCGCAATTCAAAATGAAAATCCCACCTGCCCAGGTACCAGCCCTCCCCCAATTTCTAGCTATCCCCCATTCTTCCTATTGCCCTTTTATTGCCCAGCTGCCCTGCGCCTTGCTTCCCTTGTACGAGCCTCAATCTCTTGTTGCATTAGTCTTTTTTACCTCTGTAGGCCGAGAAGCTCCTCCTCCGTAAAGAAAGTCGTTGGGGATATGTCTTCCCCCCTGCTCAACTTTCGCGTGCCTTTCATTGCCTATTCGTATCGCAGGATGTTGGCCCATTGATCGAACCAGTCGGTGAAAGTTGGTCCAAATTCCCTTATCCACTTGTCCTTTTCTTCACCCGGATCCTCCTCTCTTCCCCGTTCTTCCCTAGTGGGTGTCGTTCCTTCATCTTCGTCCTCCTCACTGCTGAGGTCTATGACCTCAATGGATTCCTCCTCCTCCAACCTTGGCCTTTTCCCCGGGTTCCTCTCTTCCTCCTTGCTGGTATCGCTTTCAGAGGGGAGGACTATTGGCTCCCCCTCCCTTGGTGGTGAAGGTCCCCTAGTCCCTTGCTTTCTCCCCCCCCTGTTCACAACCATGTTGTGATCAAACCCTACATACAATTTCCTTTTCCTGGAGCTTGATTCTCCAGCCTGTCTCGACGACTGTCCCTCAGTAGGCCTATTGATGGCGTTGCTGTCATTTTCATTTCCGAACTCCATCTTGCTGTTTTCTTGTTGTTTTCTCCTTGCCTGGTCCTGTTCATGCATAACCGTTACCGCAACTCCTCATACACACGCATTCCCTTCCACTCCCATTTGCAGCTTTGGAGGCTTCCCTATAACTCTTGCTTGCCCCCATATAGTTGGTAGTCCCATTATCCCTTAGAACCCTCGACACATTGTCCCAACACATAGGCGCCCCATGTAGCCAGTCCACAGCATCATCCCACAAAAACTATAGTACATTGTCCCAGCACATAAATACCTCGTATAGACAGTCCCCAGCGTTACCCCACAGAAACTATAATCCACTGTCCCGTGCTCCCAAGCCCATTCACAGTCAGCCCAGACAATCTCCCCACATTCCACAAAAAGCAAGACACACAAACGAACAATCCCTGTGGTCATGATCACTTCCACAGGGAGGCGGTCCAGAACTTATAGCCAGCTTCCTGCCTTTCAGATTGTCAATTCCCCAGTTTCCCTGTCCTGGGCTTCTTGTAACCATTGTTCCACCGGATCCCTGCTCAAAAATTTGGCCAGTCTCTGTCCCGGAAACGGTCCTCTTATGCTAGTACCATCAAGATCCTCAAGTTCGAACGTATTCAGTCCCACCCGCTTAGCGATCCTGTAAGGCCCTTTGAATCTCTTTCCCAGCTGCCCAGACCATGTGCTTTTAAGGGCCGAGTTTCTAACTAGCACTTTCTCCCCCACCTGGAGTGGCTCTTTCCGAATGTTCTTGACCTGGTCCCACCTTGCTTTATCCTTCATTCGGCTATCCGTTACACGGTTAACTACTTCCTCCAATGCCTCCTCATTTCTGGCGACCTGCTGGCAGCGTGCAGTGATTAACTCCTCCGTGGTCAAGTGCGGATTATCGTCTAACCTGTTCCAGGTAGGGACGAGGGCCTCCACAAGGAAGTGAATCTCCCTTCCATACCATAGCTCCGCTGGAATGCATCCCGTCGTTCTCTTTGGTGTCATGTTCTCAGAGAAGACTGCCTGCCTAAGGTACCGTGGCCAGTTCCCCAAGTTGTCTGCTGCAAGCTTAGCGATTGTGTTTTTCAAGGTCCGGTGGCCCCTTTCTACTGGTGCATTTGCCTCGCGATGGTAGGGCTCAGTAATCTTGATTGGTACGCACAATATCTTAAGCATGTTCTACACCTCCTGGTTAACGAACTCTGTCCCATTATCTGCTATAAACCTGCGCACGAAGGGGTGTCTTAGGTAGAAGTCTTCCACCCAATCGGCCACTGCTTTTCCTGTCTTCCTCTTGAGAGCTAAGGCCTCTACGTAGCCACTGAGGTTATCCCTTGCATCCAAGATGTATCTAAACCCATCCGTCGATACGGGCATAACCGCGAGATCGAGGTGAACAAGGTGTCCGGGCCCCAGTACCCGAGTGGGCCTAAGGGGCTCGTAAACCCGTACGGAGCTCCTCTCTTGACATATCAGACACGTCTGAGAGTACGTTGCGACCATGCCTACCATTCCTGGCCAGAAATACAGGGGATCGATCTTTGCAAGTGTCCCCTTTGACAATCGGTGACCTCCAACTAGCCCATCATGCATTGCATGAATTACGTCGAGCTGCCTAGACCTCCCACAAACGACTCGCCTAGGCGTCATCCCTTCCTCTTTCTTAAACAGGTGGCCATTTCTTAGGACGTACTTCTCAGCTTCCTCCCTTGCCTTGGAGTTGACTTCCGAGGGTTGTTTGTTCCTTGCAAGCAGCAGACCGATTTCTCTAAAGACGCCCTCATACATCTGTATGAGGAAGAACTCTTGTTCCTTCCGATCCGTATCCTGCTCTTCCCGGGTCTGGTTGACTAGGTACTGGCATTCCTTCTGCGCCCAGGTTTCGGCCAACGTCATCACGGCGTCCCGTCCCCCTTCCACGACCATTGCCATCAGCTCCTCTCAGGCCCCAACTTTTGCTCCCCACGAGTCCTTTTCCTTTTTGCGCCTGACCGTGGTGACTGGTCCTTCCCTGAGTTCTGCAACTATTGCAGGCGTGCCCTTTTTCAAGGTCTGGATCAACAACTGGCCTGTTGTAAGCGTTGAGTCGGCCATTTCGTTATCCACAACAAGGGCCCCCCCTTCGTAATCTAGGAAGGCGTCAATTGGTTCCACGTCCTCTATCCCCTCCAGCGTGATGCATACCCTACTCAGCCCATCCGCCCTGTTTCGAAGCCCCGCGATCCGCTCGACCTTATAATTGAATTGCCATATGAAACTTATCCATCTGCCAACGGTCGGGTCTATAGGTTTGTAATTCTTTAGTGCCCCGGCAACGTTCGTAGGATCGATCCTTAAGATAAATCGCCTCCCGAACAAGTATGCCTGAAAGGTCTTAAGGCAATGCAAGATTACTAAGACCTCCTTCTTAAACTGCGAGTACCGCTGTTCTGCCGAATTCAAGGTCCTGCTCTCAAATATGATCGGTCTTTCCTTGCCCTCCTCACTTTTCTGTATCAGTACTCCTCCAACTGCCAGCGGTCCGCCATCTGTCTCTAGGATAAAGGGCCGTCCTACTTCGTCATTGAAGTAGGGTGCTGCTAAGATAACCTGATCGGACGACAGGATGTCTTTCAGGGTCTGGGCTGCCTCTTCCCTATCCTCAGTCCAATCCATAGTGCCACCTTCCCTAATCATCGCGCGGATAGGTTCTGCTATCTTTGCGAAACCTTTGATGAAGATCCTCCATAATCCAACCACCCCTAGGAAGGCTCGTACTTCCGTCGTGGTATGCAGGGGTGTTGGCCACTGAGAGATCTTATCAGTCTTTGCTGGGTCGGATCTCCTCCCATAGGCCCCAGACCGAAATCCCAGTATAGTTACCTCCGGGACAGCCAGGATGCCCTTTGGCCGACTTGCGGTAATATTATATAGCAAGAACCGCTGTAGGAGACCCTTCATATCCTGCAGGTGATCCCAAACAAATTTTCGCACACCCGGCTCGACCTCTGTCTCGTCCTTGTACCTTGCGCCTTTTACGGGATTATCATCTATATACGGTTCACACTTCTCTGGAAACATATCCCCTATGATGGCGAGCATCCTCCTCTGCGCCTCAGCTACCGCATTTGTGAAACCCATAGGGGTCACTTACATCTGCAACTGTCCTATGGGGGTGTGCATTGCGGTGTACGGTCTATCCCTCGCGTCGAGCGGCAACTGATCATATCCTGAGTACAAGTCTACCAGGGAGTAAATGCTCTGCCCCGCATGAGACTCTGCCAACAAGTCGGTCTGTGGAAGCGAGTTTGCGTCCCTAATTGTTACCGCATTGAGCTTCTGCAGGTCCTGGATCCACCTGAGCGTCTTATTGGGCTTCCTGAACACGAACCACCTGTTCGCGTAGGGGGATGCAGTGGGTTCAGCCACAAAAGAATCTATCTTAGCTCTAAGCAGGTCGGTGACCTCCGCTGCTATCCCAAACTCATAGGCGGGCCCTTTATCATTCCAACACTCGTGCTGTACGGTGTGGATCCTGACAGGGGGAACTAGCTTTGCGTCCAATCGCCCTTTCTGATGATCGTTGAAAGCGAAAGCTAAATGAAACTCCTGACATGCCTTTCTTATCAACTAAGTTTCTTCCGGTGTTAGGAACCCTTCCACTCCTATTTTCATGGTATCTGCTACGTCATCTGGTATGCGATGACCTTCCGTTGCGCGTCTCTCCCTTATAACCCGTAGGATCTCCTCTTCCTTTTCCATGGCCTCTTCCCTTGATGTTTCTACTAGGATCGAGACCGGCTTGGCCTACGGGTGTGTATTTTCACACACTGCCCTCTGGGATCGTTCTCCTAGAAAATGAACGGTCGGAATCAGCCTTGCTACCTCCAAGACGCGGGGCTGGATGCTGACTAGCTTCCCATTCAGACAGTAGCCCTTTCGGACCCCATCCTCAAATCTAGCAAGCGTTGCGGGGTCCACCCCCACTTTGTGGTACCTGATGGCCTTAACGAGTTGTAACAAATCTGGGATTTCAAGCACCACCTCTGACGTTTCGTTCCGGCCTTCCTTTGGTTTGGGCAGGCTGGCCCCATGTTCGACTTCCGACTCTTTTTATGCCACCATAACTTTCAGGGCCTCATCCTTTTGCCTCCTCTTCTTCAGGGATAGACCCATCTTGATCCACTCTTTCTTGCTAAAGACTTCCTCAATCATGATTTCTACCCTCTCCCTCATGCCTTGCATCCGTGCGAATGCGCCTTTCCGTGCGCTTTCTTCAAACGTTGGCGACGAGGTTGCCAACTTACCCTTGGGAGGGTCCCCTCCAGTTCCGAGGAGTCGGAGGAGTTCTCCGCGACCAGTCACCGGATCCTCTATGTCTACCATATATGTGCTATCATGCAGGTGCATGCCAATCATTTCTACATTGGCGCACCATGGTCTCCCGAGGATTATGTCATGGTCCACTTCTTCCATGACGGTCATCCGTTGGAAAGACCAGATGGATTCCCGAATTCCTGCCTTGATCGCGCATTTGGTGACATACCCAGTGAAGGGAATTTCTCCCCCCGCTGCCCGGATACTTCCTGCTACCTCCTTGTTCACTGTGCACCCCGTGATTGTTGCGAAATCCCGTCGTATGAGGGTAATTTCTGCGCCGCCAGCCACTAATGCATTGGTGTGGTGGGTTCCGACCTGGACTTTAAGTTTTCCTACAGGCAGTGCGTGGAAGCTAAGTTTAGTGTCGGGCGGTGCTCTAATTACTTCGCCACCTTCTCGGTCCGGCAGACTCAGACGAATATCATCAAAGGCTTTTTCCAAGTCTTCCAGGCCCCCTGGAATGCTTTGGAGGTTAGAGACTCCTTGTGGCGCCCCTGCCTCCTCGGGTCCTTGTTCCTGTGGTTCCGGAGCCTCCTCTACTTCTACACGTCTACGTGTCAATAGCTGCCTGAGGCCCTTAAGCAGTCTCGGGCTTGCCTGCAGCATGGTCTGGAAGGATACTGACACCATGGTGCCCAGGAGTTTGATTAGTGTGTCATCTAATTCCGGCAGCGTCAGAATCGGAATCTGGTATCTGAACTTCTTTTTGTCGTCGTGGCTTTGTCTACCGGTTCCTCTTCCCTTGTTTTTCCATAGACCTTCTCCTGTTCCTCGGCCTCAGCTTCCTCCTGATCCGCACTAGCCCCCGCGGCTTCTTCCATTACTGTGTCTCGGATAAGCTTCTTTTTCGCGCCAGCCCGTCGGGTAGTGATATTTACCCTATCCTGCCCATTGCCTTCTAGGATAAAGTTGGCCTGTGATCCCCGTCCCCTTGGCTAGTCCCAGACAATCTCGGCTATGGGCTCTGCTTCTACGACAACTATCTCTAAGTTATTCAGGAGGATGACGGCTCGCCGCATCCCTCCTGGCGAGTTCCAATTGACACGCTCTCCCCTGGGTCCGAGGATCTCGCCTTTGAGGGACCTGCTGCACCTCTGCCGCTCGATATCGTGATTGAGTCTCGGACAGACCCGTACGAAATGCCCAATCATGGTGCAATACTTGCATTGTTCGTTGGCCGGATCCCTTCTGCCAAATCCCCGGTTTGCTACAGCTGCTGGAACCACGGCTTCTTGAGGCGGGAGGGCGGGTCGGGATACTTGCACCTGCATCACTAATAGCGCGCTTTCCATTCTTTCTATCTTATTGTCAACCCCGTGCACCCTTTCATGCAGACTCTCTATTCCCTTTTTTACCTTATCCCCCGTTTTCCCGGTCAGGTCTATAACCTCCCCTTCCTTAAGCAGGGCCAGGGTCTCAGCTACCATTGTCTTCTCTGCAAGATCTGTTACCATACTGAAATCCACATCCCTTGTATATTCAAACTTGCTGGTCTGCTGGTATGCTGACAGAATCTTATCCTTATCAAACTTGGAGAATTGCCTGAGGAAATATTTACTCGTTATGCGGTCCGTTACCCCGGGAATTCGCAGCGCCACTAACGTAAATGCCCTTAGGAAATCGTTGTAAGTCGCATAGTTTTTCCTCTGGACTGCTGCTAATTCGGCCATTGTTGCCATTTTCTCTGCCTTTAGGTATTTCCTTATCATCTCGTTCCTGGTTTCTTTCCAGGATCCACTGGACGCGACGATGGCCATAATGTCCCTTCCCAAGCTTAGCGACACGTGCTGCCCTAGGTGCTCCATCCTTTCCTCTTCCGTCCATTTTAGTAAGGCTGCTAGGTTCTCATAGTCTATCAGAAACTCCGTAATGTTTACCCCATCGAACGTGAGTTTCTTCTTTGCATCTGCGAGGTATCCCTGGTTCTTGTTTAGTGCTCGGGTGAGGGTGGTGACTATCCTCTTGAGACCACCTTCGGAGCTACCCGCTTCTCCAGCTGCACTGGTCCCTTCCTGTTGCATACCGTATAGGTGCAGACCAGAACAAGAACCGACCTTTCAATACAAAGTATAAGATAGCACAGCGGAAGACTTAGATACCAATGATCCGAACAATCAATATTGCAATGCAGCCCCAAACATACATCATCATCATCATTCCATGGTGTGAAGGGGTCTGGCGCTTCACACAGGAAGACTGCGCCAGCCCCAACCATACACAGACGAAGGAGAGGGGGGTTAGACGAAGAAGAGGGGAAGATGGGAATGTCGTCAACACCAAGTGTTCAGCACAGGCCCAAATAGTCCCTCGTCGAAATGTCTGAATCCCAAAGGTCGAGTCTGGATCCAATGTCGTCAAGTCTCAAGTCACAACTCTCTCTCTCTCTGTATTAGTCTGCTGATACTGAGAAGTCAGGTGGTRAGAGGGGAAGAAGAGATGGTGGACATAGAGGAGGAAGAAGAAGAACTCTCTCTCTCTCTCTCTGTGTCCAGTACTAACCTGTGAAGTTGGCGCCTTGATGCAGGTACCTCAATTACGTAGAGGGAGTCCAGGCGTACTTTCGCCTAGAGAAGGATGAGAAAGTGGAGAAAGTTCTCCATTCCTTGACTCTCCTCGTGTAGGACAACCTTCCTTTCGACATAGTCCTAGGAATGGACTGGGGAGAGGCAGCCGGGGCCACACTCCATTTGAGAGAACATGAGTGTAGGCTCCCTAGTTCGTCAGACGGAGTCAAGACTGCCCGTCTGTTCCACGTGTAAGGAGTAGATAACTCCCTGGCACATTGCTGCCTTAGCGCCCCTGCGTTTGCAAGATTAGTGAAGGAGCAGCTAGAGGAACAGGTTTTCGTAGCCTATGTTAGGCCAGTGACTGAGCCTAAGGAGGAGAAGCCTATAGACCCTGAGAGGCTACAAGCGGCTAGAAAACAGCAAGTCATTGCAAGTGTGTGTGTGTGTGTGTGTGTGTGTGTGTGTGTGTGTGTGTGTGTGTGTGTGTGTGTGTGTGTGTGTGTGTGTG